ACTTGCTCTTCATCCACCCCGAGGCAGAGCTCCATACATTCTAGTTGCTCCCTCACATAAAGAGCAACTCCACCACCTCGCCTTCCTGGCCTGTCTTTCCTAAAAAGCACATAGCCATCCATGACAGCATTCCGGTCATGTGAACTATCCCACCATATCTCTGTAACCGCAATGAGATCATGGCCCTGCGACCGCACACAGATCTCTAGCTCTTCCTGCTTATTCCCCATGCTGCGTGTATTGGTATACAGGCATTTCAGAGAGCCAGTCAAGCCTGCAAGCTTCCCAGGGGAGGTGCAAGAGGATCCTCCATAGCCATGTTGCATGCTGTCTCCCCTGGAGACAGCCGCCGCTGGAGGCATCCTGACTTGAGCAGTGTTTTACTGACTCCCCTGCCACTATACCACTCCCCTTCCCCCATCTTGCCTAGTTTAAAGCCCTCCGTACCAGGCTGGCCAATCTGTTGGCAAAGATGCGCGTGCCCTGCTTGGTAAGGTGGATCCCATCGCCAGAAGCCAGTGTGGATACATTAAAATGCATACAACCCTGAAGTGATGTGTCCCTATGCTCCTTCTTGCCTGCTGCATATCAAACATATTCGGATTTTTGTGGCTTTCCTTCTCTTCTCCAGCGAGAGTTAGAGACAGAGCAGGAATTAATGTAGGAAGCCCCTGGTCTGGGAGAAACGGGTTGTCTTTGGAATAAATATCACACTGAAAGCTTTCCATCCTCTCATTAATTGCTCCATGTCATCTTAATATATTTAAACTGTGTAAAAAAGATGCTATGAAAAGTTGTCCCCACGTGTACTTTTTCCTCAAGTGCATACCTTTCAAATTATAAACTTCCTACATATCCTAGGAAAATACTCACTGTATAAATAATTGAACTCATCTGCTGTGAACACAAGTATTCTTTCTCTAGCAGTCTAAACTATATGCCTAAATACACAACTTGTATTTAGTGCCCTAAATAGTAATTACTCCCATGAAGTCACTGGAAGCCTTAAAAGGATTTGACAGTTTCCCCGCAATCTTTCAGTGAATGTAGTAGCTGGGCTGTGCAGTGCTACATCCACTGATAATTCAGCAGCTGAGGAACTCAGTAAAGCCTGCTCCAAACTTCTCAGCTGTTGACAGGCTTGACTTGCTGAGAACACTGGTTAAATATAGCACAAGCGAGCTGAGCTCAACAAAGTCATTGCTGTAACACTGTGTGAAGAGACCAGAAGAGGGGAAATACAATCTGAGAACTAAACTGCCAAAGCCTAACACCACCTAGCAACAGTTGAAAAAACTTTTCAACAAAAGTCTGGGTGAGACACAGACAGAGTATACCCCCTACTTCTCCTGCCTGGGATTTCTGTGGGAAGCAGCCACGGTCTTCTGTTCTCTACCCTATTGCCTTCACCACTGCTGCTGGTGGACCTAGAAAAGTGGGAAAAGTTTCTCTCTTTGTGTTCTTCTGGGCTGGATCAGGCTCCTACTGTGGTAGTACTGTGGGACAGGCTCCTGTGATCTTGAGGTGTAAAGGATATTTTCCGAGGTTCTTCTTGCTCACAGGTAAGACTTAGCTAACTATTCTTAATGCATTCTTTTTTACAAGAAGTGATTTTCTTTTCTAATGATTGCTGTTTCCTTCTATGAACAATATTCTGCATGAACTGAAAACTTTAGTAGGGAAAAGCTGGGATAAAAGGTTTGGATGTTTTGTTTTGCTCTTTCAATCTGAAATTGTTCAGATAATTTTTGTCGTTTTTAGAACAAAGAGCTAGTACAAAGAGTAGAACAAGTAGCTAGTAATAATGTGAAAAAAATATTGATTTTGACATATATCTTGTTTTTTGTGCTCACATGCTGACAGAAGACAAACCACAATTTAAGAATAAAATACTTCTCATCCCTTACCAGTGATAGTTTAGTAGCTTACTAAAAGACAGTAACAGCCTGTGTGGTAAGAGGAAATAGCCATTCAGTAACTGAATTAACTGAACACTTTGTGACCTAGCGCGTTTGTATTTTTTGTTTCCTGAATAACATTAAATGCACAGACACACCTGGAACATTTTCTATTACCCTTGTAACAACAGCTCTTAGTTCTTCCTCTTGTACTTATTTATATAGAGAGAGCATTAATCTCTGCTTGATTGAGTCACTTTATCACAACACAATCTTCCTAAAGAGTGACCTTATGTTTATTATACCCCAGTGTGCTTGAGCTGGCTCATTATTTGTAAAATGATTGTTTCTTTTAGCAAAATAAATGAGAAGCCAGTTCTCAGATCTTTCACCCTGACAGCACAATAGAAGCCTGTTTATCTGTATGAAATGCGTATCCTATGGTCACATAATGTTCATGTAATTTAAGGGAGGAACTGCTTAGCATGATTTGTTTATGTCTAATCTGACAAAAGCTGTTTCGGCGATTGAAGAATGGACATAATTTCCCCCAGTCTTTTAAAGTCATTTTATCCATGCAAAAGAAATTTAGTATCCATAAATTTTTAAAAGATGCACTGTTTATGAATTCATATATGATATGGATTCAGTTATGGAGGCAAAGATATAAAGAATGCATTTAACCCATGCAAAAACCCTAGACAGGGATTTATGTAGAATTGTCTCAGATGAAAAATATTTGCCCTGAAGAAGGAATGGACTGAGTGCTCTATGCTGTTTGACACTTAGTCTGTGGACTAAGGGACTGCCTCAGGAAGATGAGAGTGTCGTGCTGTAGCTAAATAATTCTAGGTTCCCCCCTACCCCTACATCCTATATCACATGAGTACCACACCTTAGCAGTGACTGGCTTACAGACTGGATGAAATTAAAAAGTTTTGAAGCAACTTTGTCTTGGTGGTGGTTGTGAATGTAACTGCCCATGAAACAAAAAATGGAAGGAAATAGGAAGTAGGATGGGGAAAAATTCTTAATGGCCAAAATAATGTAGTTTACGTTTTATTTTGTAGCACAGGGCACACTACTTACTTAAGCACTTAACAGGAGTGCTTTTTGGTGGCTATGATTTAATCTGATAATCATTACTGTGGAATTACTGTAGCACTATGTTTTCTTAAATCTAAATCCCAAACAGGAACTTTGATATTATTCTGTAATTCAGACATTTCTTGAGAAAGTTAATTTTTCCTAAGAACGCTGTAGAATGAGAGCTAAAACTGAGACAGTATGATTTGTACAGTTTTTGTCACCTGGACATGAGAAGGAAAATAACATTTTATTCTCATTGATTTAATTGGCAAATAATTACAATTGTAGAGAAATATAGCAATACCTATGGATGATAAAATCCATATAAAATGGAGAAATGTTATGCTAATTACTAGTTGCTTTCTGGTTTTAGCTGTTGCCTAGCAAAATGTATGGTTTTATAATTTTAATTTTCTTGCACAATCTACATATACCAAAGTTTTTAAAAGCCAAAGGCAAATTTTTGAGCCTGGAAACTTTATCAAATGAAATGACTTTCAAACAATCTGATAGCAACTTCCAATTCTAACACATGGAGTTGTGGTTTTACATACATCTGTCTTCCTTTCCATTTCAAAATGGAGAAGGAGGCTAAAATTACTCTTCTCAACAGGTGTCCACAAAGAAGCTGTGAGATTTTCCAATCAAAACTGTGGAATATGTACTGTGGCTATTCAACAGATGGTTTCATTTTTGAATAATAGCCAATTCTACTAATAACTGCAGTGAAACCAAGTTCAATTTTACATCAAATCAAAAAGTAATTTAGGTTTTGGTGATATTCTCCTTCATAGAGATGTTCTTGGAAGACAAATACACATAGCATACCGATTTATTTTTTCTAGTATATGTTACTTGGATTTTGTTTTTATTCCCATAGCCTTGGAAAATGAATGGTACCTTTCATGATGCTAAAGACTGTATATCCCTCCCACTTTGAATCCACTTCCAAACTCTGCCTGTGGCTCCGTTCTTTCACCTTCATTGTAGCAATATTATAATTTATGGCCTCTTTTTGCCAATCTAGCCACAGCTAAAGTCATCATCTTAACTGAGAATTTTGTCTTTCAATGTCTTTATAGAACCTCTGGTTCTTTTTAAGACCAGAATTTGAAGACTTGAAATTCATCTTCAAACTCACTACAGTTCTGTCCTAGCCTACATCCACTGTGATTTATCCATGCTCCTCCTGCTTATGTCTGGTAGGCTATTGATCTCAGCTCAGGTATTAACTGGGCCATCTTAAGTGTTAAAGGCTTTGTTTGTTAAACTTGAAAATGATCTAGTGGTGTATGAGTTTACTGTAGAACCTGAGACTCTTGTCATGTTAGTTTTCTACTAACAGGGCTCTGTTGACCAAGGTAGGACTCCTGAAGATATAGCTGTGCTTCCTGGCAGCAGGCTGTACAGTAAGCACAATTCTTTCAGAAAATCTCCACTTTTAGCAGAATATCCTGTTTTGTTCCTCCGAGTCACAGTTTCATCAGCGTAGCCATTTCTACAATAAATGCTTTTACTGATATAGGTGTATCAATAAAACAATCTTTCTGTTGGCACAGAATCATACACATGCTTAATTTAAGGCTTTTTGTGATGTCATCTAACTCACTTGATGTGCCCCTCAGGCATAAATTAAGAATGTGCCTCAGAGCTTTGCTGAGTCAGAGGCCAAGATTATGCCACTGAATTCAAAGTGAGTTTTCTTTTGACTCCCTTCAAGAACATTCACCAAAACGGATAATCTTTAGTCCTGTCCAAATAACTCTTTTTCCAAATACGTGTTTTACTTTTCCTCTAATTTCCTGTTTCTTCCCCTTGTTTCTTATGGTCTGTTGTTGCAGTTTGCCGTGCTAATTTAAAATATAAATTGAATTTTTGAGCAGAGATTTTGTCTTTCACATGCTCAAAATGGCATTCAGAGAAATAGAGCGAAGAAGCTAGATGAAACAACAACACAAAGGAGAAGGAGCTTTGTGTCATCTATTCATATTTCCTATTTCACCAAAAAATATTTAGCATCTAAAACATGAGAAAAGAAATGGAAAGTAAAAAGAGAAAATAGTTTGTGTGATAAGGTAATGATGTTATCTGTTATGTAGAAGAATTTAAACATTACTTTAGAGGAAGCCCAAATGCTTAGACTTTTCAGCTTCAGCATCTTATTCTGGTGCTTTCTGGTTTTTCAGCCTTCTCTCTTTTCATTTCTCTCAGTGTTTTCTACTGCAAATTTTCTCCCACTTTTATATATAATACCAGCAAATTTAAGAGTCCACTTGTCATGTAAAACTGACAAGACAAAGCAGAATTATTTTGGGAACATAGTTTTTTCTTGATATTGAAGGATATTGGATAACTGGGATAACAATGATTTAATGAAGAGTTAAGATTTCATAGCCTCTCTTTTCTCATTCAGCGCTTGTTGCAAGTTAGTCATACTAGAAAATGAAGCATTTATAACACAGTCTTGTCGTTACTCTTTGAGGTACTTATGTCCAGAGGGCAGGAACAATTGTACCCATTTCCTCTTCAGGAACGGCAATGGGAGTCTCTAACTATGTTGAAGATTGCATGACACATAATGTGTTAGTAAAAAATTTGCCTTTCTAGACACTTGATTAGAGTTTTCATTTAGGGAGTTTTTCACCCACTTCTCCGGTTTCTGCAGATAATCTGCACTTTCTATGTTACTTTTTATTTTTACCGTCTTAGCAAAACAAGTACTAATATCAATGCAGACATACACAATGCAAACACATACACAGTATAAGGATGATATGTAAGATTACATAGATTGTGGTCACCACCAAAATGATTTATACACTTTTTAAATACAGAGAAAGACACAGGTCTTACCATTAAGAGCCTGCATCCTAAAAGCAAAATTACACGATATTTTAGAATTATGTTTTATAGTCTATAGCCATTGAAATACATGATTTATCCTTGTCTGTTTAGAAAGTAGTGTTCTGAGGCAAGGAAATGTTATTATTTATTTTTCCCAGTTAACATAACAGAAAATGGCTATATCTGGTATTATAGAACTGAAAGGAAATTTAACAATTCTAACATCCAGTTTCTTAATTTTGCAGCTCTGTCATAGCTAAAAGTTATGCGCATGCACATACGTGTCTGCACATGTGCCTGCCTTTTGTGAGAAAAGAAATGCTTTTTGGCATTGCAGAATGCGTTGCTGAAGGAGTGGGACAAACACATACAAAGTACAGGGATATAGGCTGAAGCTTGTACTTTTTCCCTTAAATGGGCAACTCGTCTGGTTGCTGTTAGCTGACACAAGCAAAGGGGTGTGTGAATTTAAAAGATTGCTGTAGATTGTCCAAATGAGTTTCATTTCAAAGCTGATAAAAAGTACTTAAAACCTTACTAATCTGTAATGTGACCAGACTCATTCAGATATTAACCAGAGAGGTTTCAGAACAAGAGCAAAAACCTCAATGAATCTGCAATAACTTGAGTGTGATTTATATCCTTTAACAGCTCTTTAATACAGTAAAGATCGCTTTCTTTGCCTTTCCTTTTTGGGGAAATGGTGTCAAAATGTATACTGTTAGTGATTT